ATAAGATTCCTCATGTTCAGGAATCAGGACGTTTGTTAGCATAAGATCTTGTCTGAGGGCTGCCCATTTTTATTATCCTTTTTTATCTGTAAACAACTGCTCCTGCTCCATTTTAAGAATGTTCCATTTTGATAATGCCTAATGATAATTTTCTAAATGTCAGTATAGTTAGTATTTGGTGTACAGTAGGCACACAAACCTGCAGCTCCTAACTTACTTTTCACATTCAAGTCAAAAACCACCTCCTTGGTTTGAAGAGCATTTCAATTTCAAGAAAATGTGGATTGTGTGCACACACAATAAGAAAAATTAAAGTTGGAGTGTAGGGATTCCCAAAATTGATGGCATTTTATTTGACACTAAAATTGATGACATTTCAACACACTAGTAGAAGTGTGAAAACAACACTAAAACAACATGGTTGATTTAAAATGTGAAAAAGTAAAGAAAAAATTACTCCACCAAAATACCCAACTCATTCCAACTCAATATATTTAAGCGATAAACTCAAATAATATACTATGGCACATAATGCAATACTTCTATCAAAAGTATCATTGGTGGTACTGTTTTTAACAAAGTATTAGTACAAGTAAACTTTTAGTAATTGTCTTCTATAGTCTGGTGGTACTGTTTTTAACAAAAGTATTAGTATAGGTATACCTTAATTCAAAACAGGTAATCCATATCACACAAATAGTGCATAACATTATACATTGAAGATACTTTACAAAAGAATGCACTGCCATTAAATTAAATGTGTACCTTCGCAAGGAGAACTTTCTCCTGTGTACTCCAAAGAGCTCGTGAAGCCTGAAACAAATAATAAAAATAAATAAAAATAAACAAAAAGGCTTAAAGCAAAACACAAAGCTTTAGTGGTAGCACAATTTTGCTTACAAAACATCAGGTCGAGTCATAATATGATAATAGGACTACTAAATTTGTCACTCAAGAGTTATAGTTGGGCTCATCAAGGTGGAAAAACGAAGATTGATGGGTGATATGTGATGAATTGCATGCCAAATCCTTTGCAATAGAATTAGTATACAGAAAGTACATTTCTCGGTTGTTAGGAAAATGGGAGAATATTCACAAATACTTACATCTAGTTCTTTAAAGTAATAAAAAGTAAAAACTAACTGTTGAAGTTTCTTTCAAGTGTTCTGTATGTATTACTAAATTAATGGGCCAACCCTCTATTAAGGTAGCGATAAGGTATAATCTGAAATAATATTACTATTTTCAAAACCAGAGTTCTATGGTTTATGTCTGTTAAGAATAGAATAACGCTTAAAGATACCTCAACCATTCAGCTACATTTAAGTATATACAGATACATATATCTAGACATTTAAAGTAATAAAAACTGACTGCTAAAGTTTATTATGAGCGATTTAAAATGCTAGTAATTTCTTTCAATTTTTCTGTATGCATTACTAAACTAATGGACCAACCCTCTATTTAGGTAGCAATAAGCCATCAACTGAAATAATATTACTATTTCCAAACTTAGAGTTTGATTGTTTATGGAAACCAAAGTTCCTAAACTCAAACCACCAAACTGGACACTGAAACAGATTAGGTATTTAAATAACATTCCATAATCAAATGAATCATAGTGCGAGGAAGTAACAAGAATTCAAAAGCATGACAGACAGGGGAAGGTTTGCTTAATGTGCAAGAGTGGGCAAGAAACACATAATTTTTTCCAAGTGTGCAGAGAAACCCATTTATATTTGCCAAAGGGATGAAGTGTGGTGCATGAAGCCCGTACATCATCCATAACTGATGTAATGAATGACGAGGCATTCAATGACATAATAATATGGGGTATTAATGAGGAAGGAGATGGCGATCAAAGAGGGAAACGATCAAAGAAACAACATGGAATCTAACCTGAACAATTGACGCTTGAAGAGGGAGAGATGGGAGGTAGACCGGTGCGGTTAGGGCGCGGATGAGGCATGCGCTGCGAGTAACTACGGTCAGGGGCGCTAATTCAAAGACTGTGGCGCTGCTCATGAATTTCTGCTTGGTTGCGAGATAACCAGGGTCCAGGTGCCTTAGACGGGAGCTGTTAACAGGATGTAAACGGAGAAGTTAATTTCTCTAAAAGAGTACGCATAAAACAACACAATGCACAACTCAATAAAGCAAGTTATTACACCAACATTATTTTCAGCCTTAAAATGTCCTAACCCTCATTGAGGATTATAAGTTTTTAAGATTTAAGATTAAGATGTTTCACCTTGTAAAGGGGGTAACGGTGATTACATCTATAAATATATGCATCACCCTATTTTTGGGTCTCGTGTCTGAAACATTAGTTATTCCTTGTATAGCCTAATTGTCACTAATACTTCTTCCTATGGAGTACTGACCCCTTCGGGGGCCTCACATTTTTCAGGTTAAGGCTAGAGTCCTACTACCTTTGCCTATGGTGGTCATCGAATAAGGAAGATTTGGGTCGTGCTTCCATTATTTTGAAATTTATGGAATTGCTCATGGATATTTACATAATGTTTTCTATTAAACACTTGGGGGCCTGCATGCTCATGTTTGCCACATGTGGCTAAATATCAAACATATTATTATTCCGCATTTTGTTTGATTATTATTATTGATGTTGATTGTATGAATTTACTAATCGGTTTGGCAATAGAATCTATCGGACGCCTTGTATGATTCAATAGGAATGAACTACGTTGTTCTTATTGGGTTGTACGGCGGTTGTCTACGTGGCACAGATACGGTCCGGGGCGTGACAATTGAAACTTGAAATTAAGAAAATGAATCAAGATGATTAAAAAATCGTAGACAAAGGAGGTACTCTTTTAATGTTTTCTTCACCATTCACAATCTTTATCATTTCACACAAGTAAACAATATGATAAACCTAATGTGCAATAAATTAAAAGTAGATGGGGTACTATTTACCAATTATCAACACCTAAAAGAAATTTAATATAAACTATAATAGTGCTCACTCTATTCCATATTAGCTGTCCCATATTTTTTGAAATGTTGCAAATTATTTGCCATAACTTTTCTTTGGTAATCCTTCAATTGTGTATCCATTTTTGTTAAAAGAATCATGGTGTTCGTATCATCTATGGCGGTACCAATGATCCGTCCCAATCCTGAATCACCGCTGCAATCTGAACGAGTTGTTTGAGTTTGGAAGTTGGCATTTCAAGCTTGAATTTGGCCACCTGCATTTTTTTCTTTAACTTGATATCATTTTTTTATTCGGTTAGATAATTACGTTGTCAACATATTGAGTTTTTTCGGACTATTTGAGCACAAACTTATTAATGAGCATCACTTGAACATTTTCATTCAAACATATTCACCGAGTTTATCAAGTGCTCGGTTCAAACATCAAATGCATATCAAACCGAACATAAGCCTCGTTTATAAAACTTGTGGAACTTCAAACTCACACCCGAGCACCACTATTACCAAATTGAACAGAACTTGAGCATATGGTGCTCGAGCTCGATTTGGCTTCTTAACCGCCCTAGTACAAACTCTAGCTAGTGCGTGTTCGACAGACATAAGTTTAAACCTTATAACTTTTGTACTATTTAAAATATCTTTTCTACTAATTGCACCAAACATAACCCTAAATTATTAGTCAGTATCTTAAACTTAGATGCTTGTAATTTCGGATCCCTAATGCTATTTGTATACGACATTTTACACGCTAGTCTAGATGTCTATGTATAGTCGTATAGATAATATGACCGACGTTTTGGGAAGGAATTCATTTTTCGCAGACAAAAAATGGAAAAGAAAATTATCTGTGATAAATAATATTTTTTCAATGTGAAAAACAATTCTCTTTATCAAACTATCAGTACACAAACAATTTGTTCGACGTGTAAAATAGCTTATAGAAATATACGTGCACACGAATCATTTTCAATAGGATAAGTCGATAACCCGGTAAGTTGAATTTCGGATAGCAGTAAACACGGTCTTCCAATCTGAATCGCTGCCGCTGATCACTTGAACTCATCAACGGCTGTCAGCTGCGAAACCTCGATCCGTGCCATACCCAGACTACCAATCACAGTATTCTCGTAAACCCTATATAAACAAACCCTGGTCTTGTAATTCTCATCATCTGAAAATTCGTCCCTTTCACCTAACTCTATCTTTCGATCCTCTTCTGCATCCTTGCTTGGACAGATGGCCCCTAAGGCAGATAAGAAGCCCGCGGCGGAGAAGACTCCAGCTGCCGAGAAACCTGCGGCGGAGAAGAAGCCCAAGGCCGGGAAGAAGCTCCCCAAAGAGGGCGGAGCCGCGGCTGCCGGAGATAAGAAGAAGAAGAGGGTGAAGAAGTCGGTGGAGACTTACAAGATCTACATCTTCAAGGTGCTGAAGCAAGTGCATCCCGACATTGGTATCTCCAGCAAAGCCATGGGAATCATGAACAGCTTCATCAACGACATCTTCGAGAAGCTCGCGCAAGAGTCATCTCGCCTGGCCCGCTACAATAAGAAGCCTACCATTACTTCCCGCGAGATCCAGACGGCCGTGAGGTTGGTTCTTCCCGGTGAATTGGCCAAGCACGCCGTCTCTGAAGGCACCAAGGCCGTCACCAAATTCACAAGCTCTTGAATACTTCAACTTTGCTCTGGATTTTGAGAATTCTGAATTAGGGCTAACTGTTGTAAACTAGCTTGAATTTGGTTTAAATTTCTGAATTGCTATTCAACTCACTGTAATCTTCTCCGTATATCAATGAATCCATCAGCATTTCCAATAATAGTGTCAATTTCCGCATTGTTTTTCGTACGGAATCTGATAAGTTTAGTTCTCTCAATATTAATGGTGCAATTTTGCATTTTGTCACGCGATAAAATCCCGAAGAGTCGAGGCACATGTTGTCTCTTCGTATTATCTGCGTATATTTGCAAGCGTATTGTCATTATCAATGAAGTTGAACAGGTTTCTACGGCGACGTTTCAATCAAAGCTCGTGCGTGGGTCCTCGACTTTATCGTCGACAGTCGAAGTTAACAGTCAGGGACTGAATTTCATCAAATCCGCCTTCAAAGTAATCAAAGTTGTGTGTTTTGAAATCCACTTTGTAGAGCGGAAATGGAGTCGAGTTTACATCCGACCTTATCACGAACAACAAATTTGTGCTACTTCCCGGCCCGAGTAAGAAACCCTAAACTTCTAACCTCTTCATCATCTTGTTATTCTCCCAGAGGATCGTTTCACACTCCTGCCAAATCTACTCCAAGACTTCGATTTATAGCTCGCAGGAAGGAATCAGTGGCTGTCTTACAGCAACAAAGACCTCTGAGTAAGATTTTCTGTTCGTTTTTTTCTGTCGATAGTCTATGTAGCTTGTTTGCTTCAACTGATTTGAGTGTTTGTTGGTGAAGTGGAGTATATGAGATTGCCTGCTAGTCAGTATTCGGTTTTGGATGGGAAGAGGATTGAGAGGGTGGATGATAATACATTCAGATGTTATTTGTATGGTATTAAATTCTTCGCTTTTGAGGTGAGCCCTGTTTTGTTGGTGAGAGTTGAGGAGAAGCCTGACGGATGTTCTATTAACCTCCTTTCTTGCAAGGTACTGACTGGCATTACACAACAGTTTTTCAAATATATTGTTCTTGAATCTTGATCAGTTTGCAGTTTATCCTGATTGCGTCATACGTTCTAATTTTATTTGCATTTTTGTTTTTATCAGCTTCAGGGATCACCTATTATTGTTGCCCAAAATGATAAGTTTGAAGGTATGCATCTTTTTAAGTGTGTATTTCTGGAAATGTTGCGCTGTTGGTTATCATTGGGCCTGACTCACTATATTTGTCTGAAAACGTATAGGTTTAAACTGCTGAGCACTTTTAACCTAGCATAGAAATAAGATATGAAACAAAAGCATACATATAAAATAATTTTAAAACCGAATGTTATATATCAAATTCTAAGTGAAAAGTTACTGGAGATTTGTCAGCTAAGCTCCCAGGAAATAGAGCTTATTTGGACAGCTTTCTCTAAAAAGAACAAATAGGTGTCTTATATGCTTGCTTTTGTGGTGCTAAACAAAGCCTTCATTTAGAAGTGCTGATCAATTGGACAGTTGTCAAAAGCGTAGCTATTCTGTAGGAATTCTGGAATTGATATGAGAAAAGGGGAAATTTGTAGCAAATGTCATGTCAGTGTGCACATTCTTCATAATTCCTGCACCATCTAATATCTCTAATGGTAATCTTTTTCTTCTTCAGTAAAGGTTACATAACCCACATTAAGGGGTGTAGTGTAATTCTGTAAAGGTATCCTTTTGGGTCATGGAGATAATGGATACTTGTACAAACTGTGGGACTGTGCCATGAATTACCATTGTGCCTGAAATTTCTTCTCATAACCCCATTCTCACATTAATTAATCTCCATAATGCTGCATCAACTATGTACGTAGTATAATTTTGTACGGAGTAGCTAGTTACTTAAATATTGCTGGCTAGTGGCTACACTATAACATTGTTTCCCATCTGACTGCACTGAATGAACTTTGTAAACACAGTAGAAGTGATTTGAACGTAGCAAGTTCTAGCAGTTAGTATAATTATAGTGATTGTTTGGATCTAAAACTCTCGATGACTGAAGATGAGCACATTTTATGGTTGTGGTAAATCTTATAACTCTCAAGTCTAAACCTTTTTCATGAATGCACAACTTCAATTTTTGATCTAGCAGTTACTTCATGTGTTTGTTTGTATCTGTATTCTGTATTCAAGTCTATGTTGCATAAACAGAACTGTAATTTTAAAAAACAGAGTAGATCCCAATCAGATAATGCGTTTTTTCATTCTGAGGATGTTTTTACTTGAAATGGAATTTTCTGGTCTGGTATGGAAGATGTTTGGTCTGTTAAAGTCTGGTCTGGGACTGAAATAAGTCCAAGTAAAAACATCCTGAAAGTTATCACCCTCTCTGTCTCAAAAAACAGTACTACGTAGAAATTACTTTCAGTCAACTCAATCAAAATACAAGCTTTTACAAGTTATAGATGTTTACTTATATACCCTAAGACTTATTTCCGGAGATTGTTATCAGCTTCTATGGTGAATAGAATATCCTGTGATAACAAACTAGTAGACTCAGCTGTGCAGCAACTCACTTCAGATGCATTCATCGAGGTAATGCCCAAAATGCGGCCCATCTGGCCATCTCATATGAAGAAAAATAAGCACACAACAAAGGAGTACATGAGTTGAATTTGATTGCACAGGTTGTTGTTGAAATCCCTTCTGCATTTCGAGCACTTCCGGTCCAAGCAATGGAATCAACTGGTTCTCAGGTCCTTGACGGGGTACTAGGGGTCACGCTTCCCCGGTTTATGGCTCAGGTGTGTTAGCTTACCGCCTATGTATTCAGATGAACCATTAAGCACTGATTGAGATTGAGTAAGACGAAGGTGAATGTGTCAAATAACTATGCTATAATAAAAATAGGGATTGCTGATTGTAAAAATCTTGTATTGACAATGTACAGTTGCAAATGATTTTGAATTGCCGAAAGAGAAGCATTTTTCCGTGTCGTGATTGTTACACTCTTATGACAAATAGTGAAGTTCAGTATTGGTGTCCTTTATATTGACAACACATTAAAAATAAATTCCAGACACACTCTTTCTGCAATTAACACATAGAGCCTGCTCGGGTGATGTTGAATTTGCTATACTGTGATTGCAATTTCTGACGATGTTAAACTATCAATGATCAAAACCAATATTTAAAGTATACCTCTTAAATAGTTAAGTAAATAATATCTAAAACGAAATTAAGAGTGCCATTTTATTCATTTTAACATCTTGCGACAAAAGCAGTAATTTTTTTCATTATCAACTAATTCCTTTATGGTTGATAAGCAGAAACTATATAGGTCACGGAATTGGCACATAGCGTGATGTTAGGTAACAAAAGGTAAAGGGCATGAGCTTAAGATGATTATATTCAACCCAGATTGAGTAGGTCTGGAAGGGTAAGATTTTTTGGTGATGCTAGCATATATTCAAACTTCAATTTGGCGTTTCATCTTGTTTTATCTTTTTTCCCACTGAGAAAGAAGAGAACTTCGTACTTTGGTCACTCTCTAGAAGTCGTGTTTAACCTTGAATGCTATTAATAGATTATGTTGCTTGTTTTTTTATATTCTTAGAAACACATATCCTAAATTGGAATGGTAATGCTGAAAATGTACAGTTGTAGGTTGCGTGAAGATGAAAGGACTTGGCAAAAATGCAACTTTCATTTGTGGCACCACCACAAAGTAGTAGTGGTCGTTTCCACATTTGTTGTTTTACCATCCTAACATGTACCATGGCTAGTTAGCAAGCCATGGTCAAACAAACCTTCTTTCTATCACTAAAGCTCTGTTTCTGTTGCAGCACACATGTGGCTGAAAATTATATATAGTGTCGACAAATTTTCTTGGTTGTTTCATATCTTAGCTTTAGTCCCTTTTCCAAAAGAAAGGATCCAATTTCACATAGTAATCAAAACAGAAGTACGCACAGAGCATATGCTTGGGAATAGTATGTTTTTTCTTTTCTTGTCCTTCGGATTGATGTTACAGATGCCAAAGGGATAAGGAAACTATGCATAGTAAAGGGGAAGTACCCAGGAAAGGAAATTGCGAGATTGCAGGGAAACAGACATTTCTCGCTTATTTATTATATTATACTATAACATATAGACTTGCTTATTCTACTCCGTATCATCTTTAGAAGGCAATAAATACAGTCCATCCCAGGGGTTGTTTGGTTCAGGGATTTCAGGGGGCAGGAAAGAAGATGAGCGATGCTTATTTTTTCAATTATTTCTACATTTTGGGAATAGGTTGAGCTAAACAGCTATACTGGTATACATGATCTAACTGATCACAAATATTTTTAGTCTAAAACTAGAAAATTTCTGGTGCAATTCATGATGACATTTGCATTATACAATTGGCTTTGTATTTTGTGCTTAAGATAGCCTCCTTTATCTCTGTTTTCAGTTGAAGATTATGAATGAATTTTTATACCTAAGATTATTTTACTATGACTTTGTAACTGACGCAGCTAGTGAAGGACTATCAAGCTTGGGCTTCTGGAGACAATTCAAGGCAGCCTTTAGGAAATGGTCAAATTTGAATCTACGGCGCATGAACTCTTCTTTGAAAGTAGCACCTTTTGTATTTCGAGAACATTTCACAAAATGGTTTCATATTAAAAAAAATAAGAAATGGCGTGTTTTTATGCTGCAGCCATTGATTCATCTGTGTAGTGAGACCAACTCTTCGGGCCACCAGGCCAACTTAGTTTCATTTTTCAGTACATAGTAATTAAGGATTGGGATTTTGCAAGGGGAAAACTCAAACTGTGGCCTAGTTTCATACTATACCAAATGCGGAGTAGTCAATTAAGCTCTGGAACCTAATAATGCCAGATGCCTAGTTGAAACCATGAACTTAATACGGAGTAAATGTTTAATTTAGCAGGTTCAGTTCCAATTAATTGTTGTTCAATTAACAAAGTATAGTGGCCAAAGTGGGTACATTATCACATCAAACTGGGAGTACAACAGAGGGAAGACAACATCAACAAAGCAAATTCAATTATTCACATGAAATAAAGATAACATTTTTAATAAAAAATCTATTTATACTTTTACTACTCCCTCCGTCCCTGAATTATCTTCAAACTTTCCTTTTTCGTCTGTCCCAAAATTATCTCCTCCTTCCCCCTTTTAGCAAAGAATTTGTGGTTCACAACCATTCTTACACATTCTTACACATTTCTTTCTCTCCTCTGCACAACTCTCCACCACACAAATCCCTATCTTAATTATAAATGTGCCCAGCCGAAATGGGAGAAAGATTAGGGACGGAGGGAGTAATCGATATCTCATTATGAGATCCCAACCAATGATGATGACCTTCATAAAGCGAACGATCCTTGGCTAGTGTTTCGAGGTCTGCTTTCCATGCGCGCATGAAGGCTTACTACTTAGACGATTTTTGACCCTAGTGAGCGATAGCTGAACCCTCGTCATTGCCGCTCATATCTGAGCTATTGCTGTTGTCGGAGGAAACCCTTCATCGTTCGCCCCCTTGTCTTCATCGCAAGAGCTTGCACCTTCTTCAATTCCTCCATCATCATCTTCATCACAATACCATTGAGGCGATCACATATCCACCTTACACAGAAGTTGTTGAGAGTTATTGAAGGAGTAGATAAGTTGAGATATGAGGGAGAGAAGTTAGCATCGACAATTGAGGTTGACAAGATATGGGTATGTGGATAAATTCATTCCTAAATTGGAAGAGTGAGAGTAGAAAATGAATAAGTTAAGAGTAAGGGTAAACCTATAATTTTATTAATCTTTCCATGTTTAAAATGGAGTGGAGGGAGTGCATGTTTTTCTTTCAAAACACTGCTAATAGCATCTGCTAAAATGTGCATGGTGAGCATGTGTCATGATAGATAAGCACATAAATATTAGGAAATAAATTATTTCTCTTATTTGAATTATTTTATACAACTTTGGTAAAAATTTCTCCACAATATCAAGAAGACCGTATAAATATTGACATTCTGGTTGACATGCCGAGAGAAACTTACCAAAGTTGTATAAAATCATTCAAATAAGGAGAATCATAATTTATTTGCTAATATTTATGTAACTATCTCTCATGCCACATGTGTATCATGCACATTATAAAATTAGAGATGTTCTAAGACATTATTAATAATGCAAATAGTCTAATTATGTATTCCTTAACAATAGGTGCACTTTTTGTAATCACTTCTAAAATCAACCTTTCTCAACTCTCAAGTGAGCAAGCAAAACCAACTTTCCAAAAATCAGAGGGTAGCTTTTGATGGTCTTGACATATGTCGTGCATAAGAACTCCATGATCCACTGCTCACAAAAATAGCAAAACTCAAGACAAGAGTCGTTGGTTAGAAGTTAGAACCTTCGGGGATGATGATTCCAGAGCAATTTTAGCAATGACTCTTCCCCAAGGAGAAACCATTAGACTGATTAAGGACCCACCAAATTGTGAGACAAGATATTAAACGGCTCCAGAGGTTCTCGTCCCCATCTCCACAAGGAGAGTTCATCAACAGAGTAACATTCAGTACTCCGTAAAGATTTTCACAGTAAAATAAAAAGTAATCAGAAAGGAGTTTTTTTTTTTTTGATTGGGTCTTAATCGGCATCGCGTCCTGTCTCCGTTGCTCCGGCTGCCTCTCATTTTCGCCATCACTTTTCTCTCCATATAAAAAGCAGTACTAAAGGACAGTTCATATATGTATGTTTAGTAGGTGGTTGACAGAGTATCATCAGATATTGATTCTCACACTTTACAGGTAAGCTTTAGTGCCAAATCGTTTTTCATTCCCACAATCCAGTTTTCGATTGACTTCCTTGACTTGATCAGTTTGCTGATCGAGCTCCTTTATCCTAATGCTTCCATTTCGTGGAAATACTTGATTCTTCCTTTTATTTATGGTGGTCTGGCTTGTTTGATGAAATTTTAGGTTTTCTGCTCATTTGTTTTAGCAGGCGAGATGTGTGTATCCAACTAGTCAAACTGTATCAAAACAGCGCCATTCTGTTAGATGAGTAATGGAGTGACGTGTCAGACCCTCAATTTTTTTGTCAGGAAAGTGGTATTAGCTCTGCATTTTAGGGTTGCCTGATTAGGCGATTCTAGGCTCACAATTAGTGATGTAAAGCAAATAAGCAATGGCTGATGCTCAGAAGCAAATCCAACAGAAGCCAGGGAGTATGACAGGTAATCCCCACGTTGAATTCCAGAGGGGGCTTGAGGAGTTGACGAGTGGCCACTTCGATGATTCTTTGTCATTTGTATCCTCTGTGAGGGGTGACTTGGGTGATGATGAAGAGAATGACCAGCTTGTTAATCGGAGGGGATCTGCCGCTGAGGATGAACTGCCGGAGTCATCTGCTGCCAGGCGGCACCACCATTCACGGATATTTAGTAGGTGGGCTGCCAAGCATGCACAAGAGATGATCAGCACCATTGGAACTGAAAGGAGGGATCCTGAGTCTGAGTTGTTGGCACGCTCCCAGGTACCTGCTGCCTCCATGCTTGATTCATCATCCTTGAGGGAATCACAGTCCCCTACGGAAAGACTGACACACCCGATGAGTATGAACGTGCCGGGAAGCAGAGACAGTGAGAACCAAGGAAGCTTTGTTGATGCTACCGAGATGGAGAATGACAATAGAGTTCGGTCTTCTGATCCGATTTCACAATGGAATGAGAACTCGGAGCACAACGGTTTCATCCGGGAGCAATCTTCTGATATAGGTGATGTGGAGAGGGAGAGGGTTGGAAGGATTGTTCATGGTTGGATGGAGAGTGGTCTCTCAGAGGCATCATCTATTGTTGTCGATAGCAATGGCAACTCGAGGGGGGAACAGATCGAGGAGTCTGAACGTGAAGGAGTAATGATCGCGAGGGAGTCGGTGCAAATGGACAGTCCACAAATCGCATTTCTTGAGTGTCAGAGGGAAGAACGGACCAACAGACCTGATGATGATGATGAAGGTCAGCAGCCAGAGCATGCTCGTGGGGAGATGCTGAGATCATGTGGAAGGCAGGGTCAGCTCGGTTTGATTGTGGGGAGTGTAAGGGAAAGGCATAGGGAACTTCAGATGCTTTCGGAGTACCGCGCTGTTTCTGACTTTGGCCACCTCAATCGCATTCAAGTTAGTTATCACATCGTCTCTTCTTGCCATTTCTTTATGTGCAATGTTGTTGCCGTTTTTAGTGTTCTGAACCTAATATATTCCTCAAATGGTTCATTTTTCCTCTGTTATTGAAAGTTTATTCCCTTGTGCTTTAAATTTGACTGTCTGCTTCATACTTCTTTCCGCTATGTCTAGATATGTGTGTACACATGTAGTTATACAAATTCTAAATCTATTCTTGGATTTGTTTGACAACACAAGCTAGTAGCCTAGTTAGTCAGCTATAGCTTATAAGTTAATTAGTAAACTTAAAAACTTATAGTTTTTAACTGGTATGTCAGTTGATCTCATAAATATACTTAATAAGCTAGCTGTGAAATGCAAAATGACATAAAGGGGTGTATCATTTTTAAATTAAAAGCAGGTCACAGTGGAAAATCTCATATAAATAACTTGAAAAGCTACTCAAATAAGTTCAAATTAATTCCCTTTTTAAAAGAAAGAACCAGAGAATCTTGTTTTCCAATATAGTACCAGTATCACTGTGTCTTCTGATATATGTTTACATGGTTTATTATACTTCTCCAAGTCACTACTCAGAGGTAGATTCCTGCGAAATGAAAGGTCCATTGAGGAGGAGAGTCCGCCTTCAATGGCAGCAGCTGAGTTGGTTCAGCTGAGGAACCGTCGTCCTGTCTCTGGCTTGAGGTATTTGAGCTGAAATTTCCTGCACCACATCTTTGATTCCATATAAGAGGCTTGTTTTGCCTTTGAAAGTTATGCTATCATGTCTTATTTAGCTCTTTAATTAATCTACAAACTTCTTCCACTCCTTTTACGGTTTGTGGTGCTGAAATCTTCATCATTGTGATATATTATAAGAGAGTAGAGTCTTAAGATCTAATTTTTGCTATCTTATGGTTTAGGAAGATGATAACATATAATATTTCTAACATATCATTAAACAATCTGATAATGGTGGTGTTACATGTTATGTTTATCAATAATGTATCCCTAAGGGAGTAGAGTCCTACGATCTAATTTTTTTCTATCTTATGGTTTAGGAAGATGATAACATATAATATTTCTAACAAAACATGAAACAATTTGATAATGGTGATGTTACACGTTAAGCTGGTCAATAATAGTGTATCCATGAGGATTTGGGGATATGACTTTAGTGGGTAAGTTAAGCCACTTTTAAATGTATGGCCAGATTTGGATCCTTTCTCATCATTATCTTCTCTTTTGTAACAAGAAAGAAAGCAAAAGAATGATCCCTTCTGTACTAAAATTATTATGCTTGTCCTGACAATGTGGTATTCCAGAACAGAAGTATATATGGAGTACTGCATCATGTAACCTCAAAGTGTTTTGTTCTCATTGCTAATCCTAGCAAGGTTTCTAGATACCATATTCACTAGTGTACTGCACAGTTCAATTATGGTATTGTAAGAGTAGTAGAGTACTAGATAATAATGATTCATAGGCTACAACTTAAAATGCATTATGAAAACTGAACATGATAATGGCTTCAGAAGTTTGTGTGGTGGACTGGTGGTTAGTGATGAGGTGTATGTGTTAATTTCTACTCTAGGTTCCTTCAAGGCATCATGAATCGCATTTTCGTCATTAAGTACATCTATGGCTCTATGTGCATGTAGACTAGTTTTCCAAATAATTGTACTTTCATGTGGATTTTCCTTTACATATTTTATTATTGATTACGTTGGTTTCTTATTTGTTTAGGGAAGGATTCCGTTCGAGATTAGAAAACATTGTCCGCGGTCAAGCAAGCAGCAACTCTGAGCCTCCATCTGACAGAATCAACAGGGATTCTCAAAATCTCCAGACTCATATAAATCCTTCATTACAGATTCCAAATGAAAACCTTGAGCAAGTGCAGCCTAGTGAAGATGATGGTAATACCCCTCAGCTGCATGGTGAACTCATAGAAAGTGGTGATTTTAGTATTAATCAAAGCCCAAGTCAACAATCAGTTCTTAATCAGGGTAGAGAGGAATTTGATTCTGAGGGAGAGAACCGAGAAGACTTGACTTCAGGTGAATCTACTGGGTGGACTGATGAGACTGTTGAACACACAAGAATGGACTGGCATGTTAGTTCAGTAACTTCTCGGCAGCCCCTTGAGATTGAAGGAGATGCTAGTGGTGATGATCAAGTGCTGCAAGAAGGCCAAGAGGTTTGGCATGGTGATGGCTTGCAAGAGGCTGCAGAGAATTTGACTGAGGAATTTCCTGATCATCCTAGTCTGCAGCCCTCGGTCCTACTTAGTAGATTTAATAGATTCCTACCCCCCGGTGATGAGAATATATACAGCTTGGAACTCAGGGAACTTGTAAGCAGGTGAAATCAATATCTTTACAGTCGTGCTCCTTTTGTTTCTCGGAATATATTAAGCTAGAAAATATTTTCCTGAGGTACTTTTCTTTCTTCTTTTCCATCATTTGCAATGGAGCCAAAGACACTATTTTTTTGGCTTGGAAATATGATGGAATAAAGCAAAAGGGCTCACTAAAGTGTCTGCTCTTCTTTGTTATGAAGCAGCAGTCAGCCCATGCAATTTTCGATGTGATTTTCACTTTGGGTCATCCGGAAACAGTCTCTCTGTGCTTTAGTACAGGGGTAAGGCTGCGTACATCCGACCCCCCTTACCCCACCGTAGTTGGAGCCTTTGCGGCACTTGGGTAATGATGATGATGATGGTACTTTTCTTTCTTCTGTTTTTATGTGGGTCACATCACCCTATTTCGTGGTTAAATAAAAAGATAGATTGTTGCTTCAATCTCTTTTTTGTTCCTAAAAAGAGTTCATTTTATCAACCGAAGCTAATTTTTAATATTATTTGTCAAAAATGTGCAACAAAGACACACAAATATAGCTTTAGCAAAACCAACAAATAAATTAAAAATAATAATAATTGTGATTCATCATTTATGTCAGCCGTAAGTTATTGCTGTTACCAAAATTTAAAAGCTGTACTTAGTCAAAATACATGTAACACTCCCTCATAAGCATTTTGAGAACTTGATATGCTACAATGAAACTGAGGCTTAATCTGACATTTGCCATTGAACATGTTATTATCTAGAGCATGTTAAGATTTCTTGTATATCGCAGGAGGAGTGTTTCCAATCTTTTACAGAGTGGGTTCCGTGAGAGCTTGGATCAGTTAATTCAGTCATATGCAGAAAGGCAAAGTCGTGCACCTATTGATTGGGATGTACACAGAAACCTGCCCCCCATCCCCACCTCACCAGAAAGGGAGGACCAAGAACAACAGCATATTGAAGATCAACATGATGATATTATGGGTAGTCCACCAACTGTATTACCATCCCCTCCTGTGCCTCCACCACAACCTCTTCGGCATCAATATATGCATCAATCTGGTTGGGCTCGTCACACTGTCCATCGTTCTGAATTTGTAAGCTCTTTTTTCCCTTCTTTTGGGCTGCTATTCCTTACCTAGTTCCACCTCTGTAGTTTTTCATTTGATAGTTAATTGCGGATTTTTCTTACCCGAAATGTTCTCTAGCTTGCTTTTTTAATTTTGTTCAAGTGCTTTAGTCTGACGATATTCTGTGCTCTCTATTGCTATTAGAGAACCATGAATCTGTTTTAGGGAGGAAAGATATAGGGGAAATTTGGAAAGAAAATGTATGGGAAAATTAAACATTTGTTCAAACTCAATAAGTTTACTTTTTATATTTGTTCAAACTATTTTTATTTTTTTCTATTATTAACAGATGTCCCAGCATATCTAAATGAATATAAGCACATTAATCACATTTTCTGTCGTAAAACTGAACCCATGAAATAATTATATACTCCCTCCATCCCGAAAAGGTTGGCCAAAGTTGACTTTCATGTGGATTAATAAAGTAAAAACTGTGTGGTGTAAATTTGTGCAGAGGAGAGACTTTAGCCACATATTCCTTACTTTAAATGGAAATGACAATCTTTTTGGGACATCCAAAAAAGGAAATTTGGCCAACCTTTTCGGGACGGAGGGAGTATAACACATCTTTGCCCCCTTCCCTAGCACTTCATGGGATCCAAACATACCCCCAATGTGTATAATCTTCATAAGCTTCTCTGAAGCGAGGTTGTATATGATTGACTATTATCTGGAGCAGGAGTGGGGGGCAACGAATGAGCTGAGAGCAGACATGGCAAAACTGCAGCAAGGTATGAACACAATGCAGAGGATGTTGGAAGCCTGTGTGGATATGCAACTGGAGTTGCAGCGCTCCGTCCAACAGGAGGTGTCCGCTGTTTTGAACCGATCCATTGGTAGGACTCTAAACAAATATCACATTGGTCTAGGCTTTCTAGGTCTCAAAGCTCTTTTAGTAGAAGATCTAAAAACGGAAACTTGTATGTTTGGCCAGTATTCGTAAGTATCTTTTACCTAAATATCTCTTTTTAAAAGCTCCAAATAGGAACTTTTGAAAATGATATTCAGTAATGTTCATTTCGAAAAGGGGAAACAAATGTGCCCCTGAACTATATACTACCTCCATCCCGTTCAAAGGTTCCCATTGCAAAATGTCACAGTTATTTAGACAATAATTAAATAAGAAAAATTCACATAAATAATCCCAACTATCAACAGTCTTCTGTTAAGAGCACGCGTACACGATATCGTCCAAGGTCTAGAATGAGATAACGGAAGTGAATTCCGGTAAAGAGATGACTGAATTTTTGGATCTATGATGAGCAGAGAGAAAACAGAAATAAAAGACTTTATTGGAATTAATTCGGTGCCCGACCTTGTCAAGACACAATAATTAATTCTCCCCCTAAAACCTCCCCTTACATCCACTGAGGACCCCTATATATAAGTCATATAAGAGCCCCTAAAGAGAATAAAGTAAACCTGCTAAAACTGAATTAGGAAACTTGCTAAAACTGAATTTAGGAAACTTGCTAAAACTGAATTTAGGAAACTTGCTAAAACTGAATTAAAGCAATAAAATAAATAAAGAAACTTGCTCCCAAAGTCAGCCACTTTCAGTGGCTTTATTGGACTGAATCCCTTCGGGCCGATCACCCCTTTGGCCCATCCTGCGCCTTTGATATGTTTGACCCCAAAACTTGTCCATAACATCACTCCCCTCGTCGACTAGGAGCTTGTCCTCAAGCTCAAAATCTGGATATGAAGCCCGAAATGTATCTGCAGGTTCCCAGGAGGCTTCTTCAAGTGATTTTCCCTGCCATTGGACCAGGAATTCTAAGCAGCCATGATTCAGACGGTTGCGGATAATAGCAAGCGGCTTACTCTCTTCAGGTGGGTTAACTAGCAATGGTAGAGTCCCCATGGTTGCTGGTGGATTTCCCTTGTGTGGCTTTAAAAGAGAGACATGGAACACATCGTGAATGCGGCTCTCAGGTGGTAATTGCAATTTGTATGCTGCTTGTCCAACTCGTGACTGAACTTGAAATGGTCCATGGAACTTTGGAAGTAATTTATGGTTACCACAACTTAGGGAGAGTTGTCTATGAGGATGAATGCGTAGCCAGACCCAATCTCCTACCTCGAAGGACAGATCGCGGTGAGTTTTATCGTACTGCAGCTTCATATGCTGTTGTGCTTGAGCTAGTCATTCTCTAGCCTTAGCTAAGAGTTGATCTCGGCTAAGAAGCGCCTGTTCCACACCCTCTAATCTCGCTGTCCCAGGAATATATGAGATAAGTTTAGGTGGATCCCGACCATAAACAAGGCGAAAGGGTGTATCACCCAGCGAAGTATGATAAGAGGTGTTATAGCAATATTCAACCCATGGGAGCCAACGAACCCATTCTTTTGGATAGTCACTGGTGAGACATCGCAAAAACATTCCCAATGTGCGATTTACTACCTCGGTTTGCCCATCGGTTTGAGGATGATAGGCAGGCGAAAATGCTAATTTAGTTCCAGCCAACCGAAATAGTTCTTTCCAAAAAGAACTCACAAATATTTTATCACGGTCAGAGACGATGGATTCTGGCAGTCCATGTAGGCGGAATATTTCCGCAAAAAAAACCCCTGCAACAGAAATGGCAGTGAATGGGTGTGCTAATGGCAGGAAGTGTGCTGCTTTAGAAAGACGATCAACAACCACCAATATTACTGTCTTTCCTCTAACCTTGGGCAGCCCTTCTACAAAATCCATCGATATATCTGCCCAGATATGTTGTGGAATCGGGAGCGGTTGAAGGAGCCCTGCCGGCTGCAAGTTCAACCATTTGTGTTGCTGACATGTCTGACAATTCTGAATAAAAGCTGCCACGGTGGATTTCATGCCAGGCCAGTAAAACTCCCGTCGGAGACGCTGCAATGTCTTTTCCACTCCTTCATGGGCCATGCCATGGAAAACTGAAAGGAGGGTCGAGATAATGTCGAATGAATCCAGTAGGTATAGTTTAGACTTGAAATAAACTAGCCCGTCGATCAATGTCCAATCGTTTGTGTGGTTACCAGCTGTGATTTGGGATCGAATTTCAGAAATCACGGGGGAGCCCGTCTGTTCAGCCCGGATTGCGCTTAGTAAGGAATTGAATGGAACTGTTAGAGCTGCCAAAGAAATATCTCCTTCATCGCGGCGGGATAGTGCATCAGCTGCAACATTAAGTCGGCCGGGCTTGTATTCTACGCGAAAGGTGAACCCCATCAATTTGCTCAACCAGTGTTGCTGTGGGGAAGTGGTAATGCGCTGATCCAATAAATGTTTGAGGCTGGAATGATCCGTTCGGATGACAAATGCACGGCCCCACAGATAAGGACGCCAATGTGTGACTGCTTTAGCCAACCCAATGAGTTCCCGTTCATAGGCTGGGAGTTTAATGTGGCGATCTGCTATCTTTCTGCTGAAGTAAGCGATGGGATGTCCATCCTGCTGCAACACCGCGCCAAAACCAGTACCTGACGCATCACACTCGACCTCAAAGTCTTGCTGAAAATTCGGCAATTGTAGCACCGGCGCTGTTGAGAGGCAAAGTTTTAACTGGTGGAAGGCTTCTGCTGCAATTTCTGTCCAAACAAAGGAGTTCTTCTTCAACAGTTGTGTCAAGGGCCCTGCAATCTCTCCGTATCTTTGGATAAATTTGCGGTAGTAACCAGCAAGGCCTAAGAACCCGCGCAAGGCTGTGATTGAGCTAGGAGTGGGCCAATCCATTACTGCCTGAATCTTAGTTTTATCAACTTCAACCCCTCCGCTATGGATAACATGACCTAGGTAATGAACCTGGACAGTGCCGAAGCTGCACTTGGATTGTTTAAGAAATAAGCCATTATGACGTAGCACATCTAGGACGAGACGAACATGGTGAACATGTTCAACCCAAGATTTGCTATAAACTAAGATGTCATCGAAAAAAACCAAAACGAACTTACGTAAATATGGTCTGAAAATATCATTCATCAGACTTTGGAATGTGGATGGTGCATTTGTCAGACCAAATGGCATTACCAAAAATTCAAAGTGACCATGATGAGTTCGAAAAGCTGTTTTATGAATATCTTCAGGAGCCATGCGAATTTGGTGATACCCGGAGCGGAGGTCCAATTTGGTGAAGAATTTCGCCCCGTGTAGTTCATCTAACAGTTCATCAATGACTGGGATGGGAAATTTATCTTTCACAGTTTTAGAGTTGAGCTCTCTGTAATCAATGCAAAAGCGCCAAGAGGCATCGGTTTTTTTACTAGCAACACAGGGGATGAGAAGGGTGAGTGGCTTGGCTGAATTATTCCTTGCTCAAGCATCTCAGAGCATTGGCGTTCGATCTCATCTTTCTGGAAATAAGGGTAGCGATAAGGCCTGACAACTACCGGTCCGGCTCCCGGATGAAGAGTTATGTGGTGATCACAGGTGCGCTTAGGAGGTAAGCCCGATGGAAGAGAGAACAAATCCATATAATGGGACAGTAAGCCATTGAGAGTATTGTCTGCATTCTGAGAGTTTGTCAGCAAGTGCACCTGCAATTTTGGGGCTGCTTCTTGTCCATGCCACTCAACTGCACGTCCTTGCCAGTTGAACCTCATGGAAAGATGAGCGAAATCCCAAAGAATGGAACCCAAACCCCGGAGCCAATGAACGCCAAGAATCATATCAAATCCGGCAAGGGGTAACACATAGAAATCAGCCACGAATTCTTGTCCATTGACATGAAAAGTCAAATGCGGACAAGACCCGAGGATAGGGACACGATCGCCATTGGCAACGAGAACATGTAAGCGAGACTCAAGTGGCGATGGTGGAGAGACGGAGGAGATCAAGCGCTGGTGTATAAAATTGTGAGTGCTTCCCGAGTCAACCAAAATTGTAATTGGTCGGTCCAGTAAGCTGGCACGTAACTGCATAGTAGAGGAGGATCCGAACCCGGTCATGGCCAGCAATGATAACGAGGGTTCACTAGTAGGAATCTCTAACTCGAGCTGGTCATCTTCAACAATCTCCACAAAGAATAAGCGCTTACAACGATGACCGCGCACCCACTGGTCATCACAATTGTAACACAATCCCTTTTCCCGGCGGATTGCAGCTTCAGCCCGTGAAATTTTTTTGAAGGTGGGATTATAGTTGCGCCGAACTGGGGCAGTTTCAGGTGGGGAAGGGTGCTCCAGCCCTACTGATGACGCTCCCCCATACCGAGCTCCTGAATTGTTTCTTGTTGCTGGGGCTAACATCTCCAAGGATAGACGTAGCTTGCGATCAACGCTACGGGCAATCATCATGGCAGAGTCAAGATCAATCGGAGCTTGGTATTCAACTTCCATGCGCACTGCTCTGATACCAAATTGTTAAGAGCACGCGTACACGATCTCGTCCAAGGTCTAGAATGAGATAACGGAAGTGAATTCCGGTAAAGAGATGACTGAATTTTTGGATCTATGATGAGCAGAGAGAAAACGGAAATAAAAGACTTTATTGGAATTAATTCGGTGCCCGACCTTGTCAAGACACAATAATTAATTCTCCCCCAAAAACCTCCCCTTACATCCACTGAGGACCCCTATATATAAGTCATATAAGAGCCCCTAAAGAGAATAAAGTAAACCTGCTAAAACTGAATTAGGAAACTTGCTAAAACTGAATTTAGGAAACTTGCTAAAACTGAATTTAGGAAACTTGCTAAAACTGAATTAAAGCAATAAAATAAATAAAGAAACTTGCTCCCAAAGTCAGCCACTTTCAGTGGCTTTATTGGACTGAATTCCTTCGGGCCGATCACCCCTTTGGCCCATCCTGCACCTTTGATATGTTTGACCCCAAAACTTGTCCATAACATCTTCTATTATTAATCTCAAATATGTATAATAATTCTATAATAATCTGACATTTAACGGCAGTCTTCTGGATGACTGCAACCTACTCAGCAGGTTAATAAATACAAATAAAATGTGAAAAGGAAAAAAATACAGATCAATGGGCTGTTCATAGTAAGGGTGGGGTCATGAGAGACCGACGAATCCGACGATGGTGATCAGGGCAGCTGGGATGAACGGATAAATGGCGTCGATGAAAATTTGGTGTGGACAGCGCCGGCGTTGAAGAACAGGGTGGATGGACGGCGATGAAGACTTGCTTAGACGGGCGGATTCCGGCGATGCAGAGCAGTTGGCCAGCTGGGATGAAGGGATAAATGGCGTCGATTAAATGATGGCGTGGACAGAGCGCCGACGTTGATGAACAAATGAGATTGACGGATGGACAGCTTGGACGGACGGATTCCGGCGAAGATATAGAACTGGCCTATACGGAGATGATGGAACATGAACGGCCACCGTCCCTAGTCGCCTCAAATACTTGTACGCTCAATTCAATTGTATTCGCCAAATTGAATTCGATTTGCCAATTGGAATTGGATTCGCCCATTCAATTTTTTTTGGAAGAACCTATTCAATTGTTCTGAGATGAAATCTGGAGATGCCATGAAAGAGGGAGAAAAGAAAATAAAAATTGAACCGTGTAATGCCTGGGAAGAAAGAAGAAATAAGTAAGGGAAAGGGTTGATAAAAGAAACAAGAAAGAGAGGAAAGCAGATAACAGAGTGAATTGAGAGAACGGAAGAAAGAATACCGAGAGAGGAAGAAGAAAGAGAAAAGAAAAAGAACAAAGAAATAGGGAAATAAAAAAGATGTCCAATAAAAACATGCCATGTGGCAGGGTGACTTGCTAAATGGGTTAATTTAGGTCACCGGAGTGTTTTGAGAAGACACTCCTTATAGTTAGGATTATATTAGAATTACTCATATTTGGGATTAATAATGGAAGATCGTTAATAGTTGGGATTATTCTTGTGAATTTTTCCAATTAAATATGGTAATTCGAGTTATTTCGAGAAATAATTTTGATGGCTATATAAAACAGTGGGGTCATTGATGATAAATGTGATATTATAGTTATATTATTTATAATACTTGATGATTAATTTGTCATTTAAGAGTATTAATTGTTTCCTAAAATAGAAATGATAATCTTTAAACAGGACCTCCCAAAAAGAAAAGTGAGAACCTTATAATGGGACGGAGGGAGCATCAAATAAAAAATATGCGACTCAACTCTCTTTTGGAACAGTTAAAACAAAAACTGTAAAATTGGGACATATATGCCCATATGTTTGTCTAACAGTTGAGGGGTATATATGTTATCTGATACGTATTCATGAGTGTTTTTGTTTCAACTTTACAACTTTTGTGTTTATTTGTTCTAAAAAAATTGAGGGGTGTATATGTTCTCTGACGTATAGTTCAAGTGTATATTTGTCCCTTATTTTTTTTGGTAACAACTCCACCAATTTTCAAAATGAAACTTTTATCCGTGCTGCCGTATATACACTTTGGATTAAACAATCAATGTAACCTCTTTTGTTCTACATCACTTTTAACCAAACCCCTTTTGTTAAAAGTACTTAAGCTAAAAAGCAGCTCTTCCAGTGATGAGTAAAACACGTTAATACTGGTCTATCATTCTAGCGGAGCTTTGTTATTTATTTAATCTAATTTTTGTCATTATATCTGGCAATGTAAATGTTTTGACAGGGGGGGCTGCAGAGAACTCCTCAATGGACAGTTCTAAATGGAGCCATGCAAGGAAGGGTAATTGCTGTGTCTGCTGTGATTGCCATATTGATTCCCTGCTTTACCGGTATATATATGCTTCTTTAAAACTCTCCTATCAATTATGCAGACTTGTATGACTGACCAACCCACATCCTCCCTCAACACATATTCTCTTATATTTATAGTATAATTTGTGTGGGGTTTGCAGATGCGGGCACATGTGCACATGCTCAAAATGTGCAAATGAGTTGGTCAGAACCGGAGGGAAGTGTCCATTATGCCGAGCACCGATTGTTGAGGTCATCCGTGCTTACTCTATTCTATAATTGAGATAAAAATTCGTGTCATGATTTTACTCCCATTTTTCGGGTGTCCCAATTTTTTTCTTTAGTTTTATTTTAAGGAAAGAAACGTGTGTTAATATTGTCTTTCCTTGTAAAGTACTTTTAGCCCAACAGTTTAACCACACAAGTTTATTTTCTTAATAAATGTGCCAAGTCAAGCCCAGAGTGTAGTCAATAATCCTTCTGTATTTTTTGTCCTTCATATAATATTCCTAAAATGGATGCAACTTTACTATCAAATACTGGTATACTATTCTGAGTAGTGATATGGGTATGAAAGGGTTTCCGGGGCAAGAATTTGTTATAATTATACTTAATGGATATATCATTACCAATATACTTTACCATTACTGTACTATTACCATTATCAACTTGCAACCACCTATTATTAAATTTTCTTGAAGAGTATAAGAAGGAAAGTGGGAAGAGATTTCTCAAGTTGGCTCGCCTAAAACTCTATGGGGACAACAAAACTCAGACTGAGGAGTAGAGAATAAATAAGCAAAGAGTGTTTGGGATAGTGGGAAGAGATTACACCAGTTGCGTCAAACTCATCTTAGGAAGCCATAATGTTTCACAATCGTGTAATCAGAGAAAACTGATTTTAGACATCTCTTACTGGAGGTCATGACTCATGAGTTCTAATCTCTTTAAGAATAATCAGTTGGTTCATTTTGACCTATGCACCCACTTACACAGTGTTTAGGCATCTCTCTTACCGAAGCTCACAAGTTCGCACTCTTTTTAACAATAATATGTGGGTTCATTTTTGACCAGAGCCATTGTAGGCCACCCTATGCACCTACTCACACAAAGTGTTTAGGCATCTCTTTAACCAGAGTTCACGAGTTTGTATTCTCTTTAACATTAATATGTGGGTTCATTTTGACCAGAGCCATTGTAGGCCACCCTAACGGCCTAACCTATGCACCCACTTACACAAAGTGTTTACTGTTTAGGCCCTCTTACAGGAGCTCACCAATTTAGATTCTCTTTAACAATAATATGTGGGTTCATAATGACTAGAGCTATTGTAAGCTACCACTTACAGAAAGTGTTTAGGCATCTCTTTTACCAGAGCTCACGAGTTTGAATTTTCTTTTAACAATAAAATTGGGTTCATTTTGACAAGACCCATTGTAGGCCACCCTAACGCCCTAACATATGCACCCACTCACACAGTGTTTAGGCAATTCTCTTACAGGAGCTTACGAGTTTATATTCTCTTTAACAATAATATGTGGGTTCATATTGACCAGAGCCATTGCAGGCCACCCTAACAGCCTAACCTATGCACCCACCACAACAGCAATCTTTTAACGGCGTGGTTTTGTATTTTTAATTTACATTCTATGTATCAGACATTCCCCTGTGTGCACATTAATTTGATTTTTGTTTTTTGTAAATTACAGATGATCATTATCTAATGAGTTTGTAACACATATGGGGATATTACAGAGTTGTTCTGATTTAGGAAGCTTTTGACTCTGTTTTTGTGGTTTTTAGCAATATCTTTTCTCGACATCACTTGGAGCAAATGACCTCATTTGCATAAACTATGGATGGATCAAAGTTGACCGATATTGTTATCTAAAAGAGATATTACCCGAAATAGGACTAAAAGAGTTAGAAAATTCCAAAATAGGACTACCATGTTTTTATTCCCAAAATAGGACTAATTACTGTCATGTTTTGGCAGTACCAGACTTCAAACATGGCAGTATTTTCCAAACTTGGCAGTAATTACTCCTATTTTGGGAATAAAAACATGACAGTCCTATTTTGGAATTTCCAAACTTTTTTAATCCTATTTCGGGAACTTTCCCTATCTAAAACTATAGGGTGTTTAATACTTTAGGAGGTCTTTGGTTCATAGGTGTCATTCATGTCACCTTAGGTAAAGTAAAGCGAGAATGTGAGATTACCTATATTAAAAGATTATATCTAGGTAATGTGAGATTATAGGAGTATAAGTTTATTTCATGTGTTTGATTGGAATATTAAAAATGTAATTTAGTCGGCTTAAAATAAAGTGCAAGAATACATGATTTAAGAGTCGTAGACTTGTAGAACATGACCGAGGAAATCTTACACAGATTAAGAAACTCAAGGTAATTAGATAACCCCTACTATTACTTCATTTTAAAATATTACACACAAAATCATAGAATTTCTACCATTTTAATCTTGTAATTCCCCAAGACCTCTCTCCAGTAATTCTATAAATCCAATCAAACGAGGTAATTGATATTACTTTCCTAACATTACCAAGACAGTTTTAGATAATTTGAACCAAATACGCGTAAGTGTAGCAATTACTATGATGATAGAGAAACCACTTGGCAGTTATTAATATATAAGAAATTGTCCTAAATCAGAGTAAAAACGTTTGTGAATTCAACAATAGGAGTACTATGTTTTTATTCTCTAAGTAGGAGTAATTACAAACATGTTTTGTCATTAACAGGCTTTTAAATGTGTTAGTATTGTCCAAGTTTGGCAGTATTTACTCTTATTTTGAGAACAAAAAAACATAGTACTTATATTTTGAAATTTTAAAATGTTTTTACCCCTATTTGGTGATTATGTTATTTATTAGAATTTGTATAATCACCAACTTGTTATTCTAGGTAAGACTTCTTTTTGACAGATATTCTAGGTAAGACTTAAGAGAGATAATAATGTGTTTGTCATTGTTCACCCAACTCATTTAAGGTGAAGCTCCAGACTCCAGTGGAGAAACCAGCTCAAACGCATGTTGCGGTTCAGTTAACCCAAACCCCATTACCTCCATGGAATTTCATTTGGTTACTTGAGTTATTAACCCCCGTTTTGATGTTTTATTGAACGTCTTACATAACACAAACTAACAACCATTCATCCTGAGTCCTAACCTATATTTTATCTATAAACCACGACACATAGATATGCAATTCGTCTCGTCTAAACCTAAAGTCCTAAACCCAATGCAATCCAATCAAGTCCATCTTTGGAAATTCTAATAACACAATATTTTCACCCAATTCAAATCTACGTTTACCCAAACAATACTTAAACAATCTCCCACATTCCTAGGCATGGACCCGGTCCGGCCTGGTTAGGAACTGGGTACTGTGCGGGATCAGACCGGGTCTATTTTGCTGGTTCCAAGTGAAGATTGGGACCTGATCGGGTGTATAGGCTACCCAAGTACCCAGTCCCGAGTTCTATTTTTTGGGACTGAATCGGTGATTTCAGTCTCGGTTCTGGTCCCGATAGCTAGCCAAACTTTTTTGGGTTTCAGCCTTGAAGCGGTTGGAACCAAGCCCATCCTCTTTAGTATTTTGAGCATATATAATCCCCCTTTTGTACCGAGCAAAACAAAAAAATATGTCCAGAACTGGGTCTGGATTGACCAGGTACCCGTAAATGGCCCGTAACCGGAAATAACCGGGTTGGACCCGGTCTTGACAAAATTTTGGCAAGGACCGGGCTGTCTTGGCCCGGAACTGGGACTGGACTGACCCGAGTCCATGCCTACACACTCCTAATTTGTCTGTTCTGGTTTTCAACCCTCCGCCCCCATGAAAAAAGAATGGCTTACAAGAAATTTTGGAATAACAATAATTCTTGGATAAGAAAAGTCTTGAAGAATTCGTCAAATGAAACTTTCATTTTTTTTTGCCTTTTGACATTAGTTTACAGGTTATCTAGCACATTATAAAATACTTCGTATAAGCATTTCTGAGATCCTTTTGATAACTGGAATTTTAAGTCTCGGTATTTTTTAGATTTTTTATACGGGAAAACTGTCAATTACGCCCTCCTACTATGTAGGGAGAGTCAATGAGGTCCTTCACTTTAAAAACATCCAATTATATCCTCCAACTCATAAAAACGTTCAATTAAATATATCTAGCAGGTCACCCACCGGTCTCCCGGTCACGCATGACAGCCCATGTGGCAGGCCACGTGACCATCTTTTCATTTTTCTTTTAATTTCTTGTTCCTTATCTTTCCTTTCTCTTCTTGCTTCCCATTTTCTCATCCTTACCTGGTTTATGCGCAGGACGCCTCCTGAACCTATTTCCCCTCCTTTTCTATTCTTCCTTTGTTCCTTCTTACTTCTTTTCCTTTTTATTACAATTCTCTTCCTTTTTTTCTTGTACAAACCCTAAGCTCATTCCTCTTCTTCCCAGAAACAAACTCGCCGGAAACCGAGCTGAGATTAAGGCGATGGCCGGAATCTACTCGCCGGAAATCAAACTGCTACGTCGCCGGAATCTACTTGGAAACAGAAGAAACAAACAGAGGAGAAGAGAGTCTTTTGAGGACGGCAAATGCCGCCACCTTTTGCAGAAGCCTGACAGATCTCGTAGCAGTCGGAATATGTCCAATTGTCCATACTCGCAGCCGCCATCGTCAACGGCGGTGCCGTTGAAACTGATGCTCGGATCTACAACGAGCTCACCAATGTTGGCAGTCTAGCACTTTAATTTCTGAAATAGTCAAAGAGGGCACCTTGATTTATGAAAATGGGTTCCGGAGCCTCTACCTTACTTTAGAGTAAGGTAGAGTGCCTTGCTTCCTCCCGGTCGTCTGATCGACAATTCAACGGTCGGAGATCTTGGGCTCCACTTTTTTGCCAATCTCGAGGCCGTGTTGGCCGCTCCCCTCCCGTCTGATGCGCAAGGCACCCTCCTAGTCGGGCAGAGGATCCCAATCCATGAAAATGAAGGAAGAAGAAAAAAGTTGCAGAGGAACGAAAGTTGTTGCAGAGGTGCGATGGGAACGAAGAGCAGGAGAGAGAAATAAGAAAAGAAAAGAGAAAAAGAATTAGAAAAGATAAAAAATTCCATGTGGCCTGCCACATGTGCAGTTTACCGGAAGACTGGTTGGTGACCTGTTAGATATACTCAATTGAATGTTTTTTAAGAGTTGGAGGATATAATTGGATGTTTTTAAAGTAGGGGGGCCTAATCGACTATCCGTACATAGTAGGAGGGTGTAATTGACAGTTTTCCCCTTTTTATACCTAAAACTATTCTTAGGTTAGAAATAAATAATTTGCTAAATTGAATGATTAAAATATAGATTTTAGCTAAAAAATAGTTCTTATTTCTGTAATACTACTCTGTATATGATTCACATACTTTCAAACTTTTGGATTTTTCAAACATCGGTACATTTAATTGTCCAAATGTAAACTCATTTATACAAGTATAATTCAATATATCCCAAGTACATTCAAAGGGCATTATTTGATATTTGTAAAACTTTAAATCTTATTTGGTAACCCTTATTTTCAG